CTACTCGCATACATGTATAGATATATATATATATATATATATATATATATATATATATCAGTAGTCAACATTTCATGTGGATCAAAACCTTTCATCAAAGTTGTCCTAAAACCTAACCTAAACCTAATCAGCGGGTAACGCTGTCAAATCACTAGCCAATTTGCCGGGTTACTTTTCGTAAGTTATGTTCACTCATCATTCTAAAGTGCATTTTTTTAACCACTAATTTTATTTATCAAGAAATTCGGCCCATAACATAAGCTTCTAAGTGGAAAAAATAGACTATACTAGCGAACAATTGTGTTGGATAGAACTATTTCTCCTGCTCATCGGAACACATGCAGATGCTGAAAGACAGAACCAATCGATCACAGACAGCGTTCACTGCTGACACTTCGCTCACAGTGTTTGTTCAAATAGGGCTGCGCTTCCCAAAAGCATCAGAAGCGTACGTAGATCTTAAGAAACCATTGCCACATTATTACATATCATTGTTACTATATATAAAATTAATTCTGAAAAACGATGCATTTTAAATTACATTTTAAAATATTAAAATAGAAAATAGTTATGTTATATTTCACAATATTGCTGCTTTTACTGTTTTTTGTAGGGATGCACCGATACCACTTTTTCCAGTACTCGCCCGATACCGATACTTTTATTTTTGGTACTTGCCGATACCGATGCCGATACCGATATTTTTATTGCATTTGTACATTTTTTAAATATTGGGTACAGAAACCAAAAGGGTATGTATAATGTTAGTTGGTTAACTTCATTTATCAAATAGATACAGTCAAACCAAAATTTATTCATACACCTTCAACATTTCTCACATTATCACAGTTTATTCGCTATAGTTTAGAAAATGGTAATAAAATATGACAAGAACTCAGAGTTAAACTGGCTTCATGCAAACCTGAACTTCAGTTTTTTCCCAGACTCGCTCTGAATAATTTTTGGACCCAAATTTGTATAACTTTTACTGGTAGTCCACTGTATGAAGAATTTTTGGGTATGATTTGTCACAGTTTACTTTAATTCATTGCATACATATACTTCGTAGTAGACATCCATAACTCCTTTCTGCTGTCTGTTGTCAGTGTTTCTTTGTTTGAATATGGCGCTTATCACATGCTGAGTGGTATCGGCGGTTGGTATCGGGGCATTTTAACGAGTACGAGTACGAGTACAGGAGGCTAGTATCGGGCCCGATATCGATACCAGTATCGGTATCGGTGCATCCCTAGTTTTTTGTTTGTTTTTGTTTTTCAAATAAGTGCAGCCTTGGTGAGCATGAGACTTATTTAAAAAATCTTACTGACCCCAAACTTTTGTGTACATGTAATATTTATTTTAAATTGGCTAGTTTGTGCAAGTAAATTTATTTAAACTGGTTGTTAAAAGTTCAAATGGATTGTGTTATGTTCTGTATATCGGTATCGGTGCATCCCTAGTTTTTTGTTTGTTTTTGTTTTTCAAATAAGTGCAGCCTTGGTGAGCATGAGACTTATTTACAAAATCTTACTGACCCCAAACTTTTGTGTACATGTAATATTTATTTTAAATGGGCTAGTTTGTGCATGTAAATTTATTTAAACTGGTTGTTAAAAGTTCAAATGAATTGTGTTATGTTCTGTAATTGCTGTTAATAAATCTGTCAGAAAAAAAATATGCTACATTTTCACCTTTAGGAGTACAACAGCCTGGCAGCCTTTTACAAAAATTAACCATGGTTTTATTACAGTAACCACAGTTTACCACAGTATTTGTACTAAAACTGCAGTAACCTACCAGTAACCTAACCAGTAAACTTACCTACCCTTAAAGCATGCATACTTGTATGGTACTAATATGCTCCCTTTTAGGGGTATAGTTGCACCTTTGAGGTTACTACCCCAGTAAAGGGCTAAAATACAAACATAGTATATTTTATTTAAATACAATGTAAACAAAAAAAGGCCTATGAAATGTTAAAAAACATAGCTTTAAAAATCTAATATTAAGTGAGTATAATTACTGATTATATTCTTTTAATAATTTAAAAGATCAGTTTAGTTTAGAAGTATCGGTATCGATATCGACGATACTGGGCTTGAAAATATCGGTATCGGATCGAAAATAAAATAAGAGGTATCGCCCATCCCTACTGGTTAGATTAACTAAACTAAATCATTCACTGCATGATTTAGTCTATTAATATGCATTAAGAATGATCACATAATTCAAGATAAGGGGATTAGAAAATATATATATTTATATCAATTCATATAGTTAATATGACACGAAGAGTGCCGTTTTTTCTTTAAAAATCAGCATGGTTACAAATGTGATATTGATTTTATACAGCAGTTCAATAAACAATAAGTTACTATCAAGAGACTCACGTTTGAGACAGCATATTGGCTGTTTTTGCGCTATTTCGCCAACAGAAAACATTCCAAACACAGCGCTGTTTTGCGTCTCTGAGCAACATGGCGGCGTGTAGTTCCTGAATGAATCAACCATTTAAATGATTCGGTTCAATCGCAATGACTCACTTAACAGTGACTTGCTGCC